TCGGTCCGTGTTACATGTAAAACACACGAAAGGACTCTAAACACGCTTCACTCTGATTGGGCAGAAAAACACAAAGGTTTTCTGGCACCAATCAGATGCCAGAACGACTGCGACCGTTTGGAACCTGTCTTGTAAGACAATGTCCCCAGGGGCTCTTCCGCCCTAACTCGAAATCGACTCACAGCCCCTGGGTCTCCGAGGATGGGCCGGTACTAGCTTTTTGAAAGGATCTTCGTTTTTAACCTTATGTGCGACAAAGGTAAATCTGAAGGCGACTTCTTTGTTTGTAATTTGGATGCCAGCGTGGACAGAAGTGCCAGGACTGGTTTTCTTTTCCTGACAAAATGGTACCCTTTCTTTCTTCTTTTTCTTTGCCCAGGAACTCCTCTCTAATTTTAGTCTCCGCTTTTTATCCCTGAGGAAAGACTTTCCACTAGGCAGAGAACTTTCACGTGTGGATTTTGTCAAGTGCGCGCTGTAAACAAATACTATGAAAGAGCCGTGAATATTCCCCAGGGGGTTTGCCCCTTTACGAGATTATGACACCCTGCTGATTTACTTTTATTTAAAAATACGTTTTTCCAAATAAGTCGGACGCTTGAGATTTTAAAACGTTGGGTAAAATGTCTAACTTCAATCTAGTCCAATAAAAGAAAAAACGAGTTTTTTCGACCTCTGAAGGTGGGAAGTAACCTTAAGAGGGAAAGAAGCCATCTACTTGAAAATTAATTAAATTGTCTACACCGACAGAGAAAGCAGACTTGAAATTCACAAAAAGCGAATCGTCTCATAAACAGCCAGTCAGTAACGAATCGGACCTGAGGGAATATGTTCAAAGAAAAGAGTGATTTATTCCCTCTATACTCGTGTCTTCAATTTTACTTACTTATTACTACTCACATTGTTGAACAGCTTAGAGTGGTCACCTATCCCAGAGTGCCTGTCACAAAAATGTTAAGAAACTCGGATATAAATTTGTAAAGGAGAAATTAAGACAATAATACTTATATTTTCTGTTCCAATAAGTTAAAATTCTAATGAAGAATAGAAAAAAAAATCATGTCAGTAACCATGGCGACATCAATATTCTCACAAGTGAAAGATAAAAGTAGTATCTTCACTGCGCGCGATGAAGATAT